CTGAGAAGTGGGCAGAGTAGAAAGCAGGCGATGAGGCCCAAGAGGTGATAGGGACCAGGTCATTTGGAACTTTGGACTTCACTGTTGGACTAATTTTTCCTTGTGTGAGAGAGGGAACTATGTCAGGTTTTTGTGGCTTATGACAACACAAATGCATTATCATGTAGCTATGGAGGTAAACAGGCAAACTCCAACAGATCTCACTGAACTGAAATCAAGTTGTTGGCAGGGCTGTGTTTCTTTCCAGAAATTCTAGGAAAGAATCCATTTGCTTGCCTTTTCTGCAGGCCACCTGCATTCCTTACTCTTAGCCCCCTGGCATCTTGAAAACCAACAATAGTTGAGTTGCCGAGGGCATCATTCTGATCTTTCCATCTGTCTCGATCCTCCACTTTAAAGGACTCTTAATGATTAGACTGGGCAAAGCTGGATAACCCAGAATAATTCCCCTTTCTTAAGGTCAGCTGGTTAGCAAGCTTAATTCCATCTGCAACATTAAATCTCCTTTGCTAAGTAACAATATGCTCACAGGTTCTAGGTGTTAGGGCATGCTCATCTTTGGGTGCTAGGACACTTTTCTGTAGACCACGGAAACCAGTGGTGGTTTTGACTACATGGGTGACGTGAGCCTTCTGCTTTAACACAGTCACTGTGGCTATACACCGTGGTTGACAGTGTTTAAACAGCCACTTGCAAGATACTGAGCAACAAGGATGGAGGCAGAGAGATGAGTTAAGAGATTGTGCTGGTAACTCAGGTCCAAGATGGTGCATGAACCAGGATGGTGGATGTGCTAAGAAGTGGTTAAATTCCTAACATATTTTGATTGTAGAGTCAACAAGATTTATTGACAGGGTGTACATAGGTATGAGAGAAAGAGAGGCATCAAGGACAGCACAAGTCTGGGCCTGACCTGGGGGAACAGAGGCGCCATTAACCCAGATGGGGACGGCTGCCGAGGAACTAGTGTGGGGTGATTATCAGCTCAGTTTTGCACACACTAAGTCACTCCACTCAAGCAGAGATATCAGGCAGTTGAATATATGAATTTCAAGGGAGAGATCCAGACTGAATAACTACATTGGGGAGCATAAACATATGGATAATATTTGTAGCCATGAGACTGGATTAGATTACCCAAGGAGTGAAATGCAAATAGAGAAGAGGAGGCGAGTGTACCCTGGGGCCCCAATAGCTTTATTAATCTCCAAACAGTAGATCTGGACCCACTAGTAGGCCTCAAGGACTTACTATCTCCAAGCCTCTTTTGTAGCAGCCTCCTATTCTTCCCCATAGTTATTTTAGCTGCTTTGCTAGGAGAGCACAGCCAATAGCAGTGTCTCCCCTGCCAGTCTGAAAGTGCATGCTGGTGTCAGCTCGCCCCATCTGCAGCCCCAAACAAATGATCTGAAAGCTCCAGGAGGAGGAGGAGGTGACTGGAAGGTAATGAAGGAGAGTTGAAGTTGATACACTCGCCAGAAGTGGAGAGTGTAACACGTAATTATACTAATTCATTTAATAAATATCAGTTAAGCACTTCCTAAGTGCCAAAGCCCATGCTTAGGAGGGGAAGCACTGTGGTTTTTACAAGAACACACTGTACAAGTTTTGAAAAAAAAGCTCTATGGATACTGTATCAGAATTACATCTGATTGCTGGTATCAGAGACATGAGAAAGAATAACTTGAGCACATAAGGAGTAATTTTCTCTAGTGTAAAAGAAGTCCAGAGCTGGGGATTACAAGGTTGAGTGTAGCTCCATGTCATCTGTGTCCCAAGGTGCTTCTGTCTTTCTGCTTAACCAACTGAATATTTGGGATCTAGCCTCAAGTTTACCAAATAGTCATAAGATGGCCACTATAGCTCCAGCCATCACATCTCTATTCCAGGAGAGGCAAGAACAAAAATGAAATGGAGCATAACAAATCAGGCGACTCTAAAGTGCTCTCACCTAACAATACTTCATGAGCCAGTCTTCTCTGTAAGGCTGGTTAGGAAATACTATATTTTTAAAGCTGAACAATTTTCTACCTTTAAATTATTCTTTGAAATGAAAGGACGAATGAATGACTATTAGAGGGGTAACTAGCAGTTTTTGACACAAACATCAGATAGGGTTAAACAGGATGTTATATGAGCAGATAGCAGAGACCCAAGTCTAGACTAGGGGCAGAGAAAGTCCCCTAGAAAGGAATAGTTTGACTCAAAAGGTAGTGGTTGCCTGCAAAAGAAGAGGAGAGAGTTTCAGATGAACGAAGTAGCATGGGCAAAGGCCTGGAGATAGGAGAAGGAGCAAGACACAGGAGAAATACAAGAAGTTCTGGATGCCTGGTGTTCAGATGGAGTGGAAGAGAGAGGCAAGGACTAGATGGAGGAAGGCTGCGGGAATTCCAGTTCAGGAATCAGCCCGTGCTCCACAAGCCTATGGAGAGCTGTTGAAAGATTTCAAGCAGGAAGTAGTATAATATGACTTGGCTGCAGAACGGTGCATAAAGTGAGGAGTAGTTACGTAGGGACGGGTAGACCAAAATAGGAGATGGTGGCAGGAATTTAGACAAGAGAGGACAATGGCCCAGACTGCAGTAGCATAAGAGGACACAAAAAATAAAGGCCTGGAGAATAATTTAGGAGGAATATAAATGTTAATGAAAGCCTCATCTATCTAATAAAGAATCTGATTATAGCCATCTGTCTTAGTAAATCTGCCCTACAACAAAATGCCATAGTTTATAATAAACAGCAGAAATGTATTCTCTTTAGTTCTGGAGGCTGGACGTCTGCGATCAGGGTGCCAGCAGGACCAGGGAGGGCCTCTTCTGGGTTGCGGACATCTCGTTTCCCATGCGGTAGAAGGGGCATGTCAGCCCTCTGGGTTCTCATTTATAAAAGCACTAAGTCCACTTACAAGGGCTCTCCCTTCATGAACTAATTACTCCCAAAAGCCCCACCTCTTAATCCCATCACATTGGGCAATAAATTTAAACATAGGAACTTGGGGAGGGTGGGTTGAGGAGAACACAGACAGATAATTGCAGTGTCCTGGGAAGGACACCAATCAAAATGACCTTCTAAGAAGTCTCACTGCCCTAGTGTTTAGTTCTGTTTCTGAATTGTAATAAAGGAGAGTCAAAATTGGTAGATAGCCTCAAATGAAAGAAGTTTTGAGATTGGTAAGTGCAGTAATTACAGTGTAAAGTAGATAGATTTTAGAGTTTTTGTTAGACACTCCTGAGTGTATTATTAGAAGTAGCTTTTTGTTTCACTTGAGAAAGGAAAAAATAGCCAGTACTTAGAAGTTGAGTATAGAAAAAGGCTAGAGACAGTAAAAAGAGGACAGTAAAAAGTCCTAACAAGAAGTTAGGACAGCAGACTTATAATCCAGCCTCTGATGCTGTCTTGCTGTGTGGCCAGAGAGAGGCCAAAGAACCCTCCGGATTTCCTGGTCAAGGTCATTTCCATCCATGGGGTCAGAGCCTACTGCTTGGTCCTCCTGTGTTGCCTGTCTTGGCTCATGGAACCCCCCAACTTCCTACTCATCCAATTACAAAACCTCAGTTGCCTTTGAGTTGCTTTCCATCCACTTAATTTCCAACCAAATTCTATTGATTTTTGTTCTCTAAAATGCCTCTTAAATCCAACCGACTGCCACTGCCAGAGTCTAGTCTCTAATCAACTCATGCTTGGGTTCTGGCAAAGTCTCCTCACAACTCTCATCTTCCTTCCAGAGAGGCTCCTCTTGCAGTCTGCTGCCAGTTAGATACTAAAGCAAATCTCATTTACTTACCCACCCACCCAGATATGTTGGCTTTCTCATCCTGTTTGGTGGTGACCAGGAAGGATTCAGAGTTTAGCAGCAGAAGTCGTCCACGCCTCTCTCTGATGAGAATGCAAATCTTGCAGGGACCCCCATCCTCCAGTAAGTCAACCTCCTTTGCCCTAGAAATGGATATTGCCCACAAAGACTGTTGGGACAGCTAAATTTCAGTGATGTCAGCAGGCAGGTGAAGTACTACTTCTTCCTTCAAAAATGTACTCAGACTCATACATCTTCACGAAATGGAGCAAACCCGGGGTGGGGGGGACAGGTTGACCCAGCTGGTAGATCCTCACCCAAACCCTTACAAATGTTGGACACAACCCCAAAGCAGACACATGGCAAGAAACAACAATAACAGAATTTATTTACACGGGGAGTGAGAAAAAGGAGAGTGAGAGGAGTATGTACAGGCTAGCGCCAGGCAAGATGCCATCTGTCCTCACCCAGATAGTCTCCACTGAGTAGAAACCAAGGTCCAAGCCAAAGTTGCTCATGGCAAGCTGGCAGCTTCTCCACAGACACCCCCCTCGCTACCAGTTTAACTGCCAAAGGCCCCACAGCTTAACTGCTAAAAGTCCCAGCATCCAAACTGTGCACTCTCCAGCTCAGTCCCTTTTGCCACATCAGCCCCTACTCAGGGGATAGATCTGGAAAGCTCTACCTTCCACCATGGAGTTGGTTATGAACACCACCCACTAGCTCAGATGTCGCTTCTTGCTGTTCCTCTTACATTCAGACCTGGGACGGATGGTTCTTGGTTCTCAGACTTTTGAGTTTCTTTGAACCAGTATTAATTTTTGTAAAGGTTGCTCAATTTATATTCTTCCAGGGGATGCCATTAAAAATAATAAACATCTGTCAACATAGAATTATATCCTGTGATGCACAGGCCAGTCCCTTCAACAAGAAATTGTCTCTTTCCAAATGGTAATAGTGGCATGGTTAAGAAACCCTGGGTTTGCTGAATGGCCTCGTGACAGGCAAAAGAAAAAGCAAAAGCAGCCAAGTCCCTTATCTTTGCTCAGCCACGTGGGCTTGAAGGAGTCAGCCGGCCGGGAGCCAGACTGATTACTGGAGTAATCAGTCCTGGGTGGGGGAAAAGGACAGCGACGACACTCATAAGCATTTTAAATTTTAAGTGGGATAAGGCACATAAAATTGCTTAACGCTGTGCCTGATACAAAGTTAATTCTCTATACAAATTATTGGTATGATGATGATGATGGCGACAATAATGAAATCAGTACATGTGAACCATTTTTAACACAAGGGGAAATATTTTTATCTTTCCAAAAATTATGCAGAGCTTCATGGCTTTGGAGTATGCCCCTTGGCAGACAAGTTTTACCGGTGAACCATACGACTGCGTAAGTACTGGAGAAGATTTGGAACACGATCAGGTCATCTGAGTAGGGAAGAGGTGGGTGGAGGAAGGCTGTAAGATGGAGTGTGAGAATGAGAACTCACACCTGTGAAGATCAGTAACTTTCCTTGTGGGGGATGGAGGCGGTTGAGGAACATGTTAAGGTGTGGGGTGGGGTCAGTGTAGGTTTGAGGATTCCTATCTCAGGAATATGAAGAACTACTCCTTGCTCTACCCCACCTCCTGCTCCTGTGACGTTCACTGCAATGAGTAGTGCATGAGTGCTATTGTAACGGGGTGGTCCCCAGGAAAGGGGGAGGTTCCAGGTTCCCTGCCCCACCCAAGGGAGGGTGGAGCTGAGCAGGAAGAGGAGAAGCTGAAGGAGAGACTGAGGAAGGAAGGAGCAGGATGGAGCCAGAAGGAGACCTGGAGGAGGTGCATGGAGCCTAGAGACACATAAAGAAACTGTGCTTGTCTTTTGGTCGTGGACTGGGTGACACAGATGTGGGTGAGACCCGTGGGGAGGTGACCATGGCAGCTTTTATCTTGATGTTGATTTTGCTCTTTTCCTTCCGGGCTTGTCCGGTTGTTTGTGACCCTTTTCTGTGGGTCCCCACTGGAAGATGCTTTAGACTTGTAGCAGGCTTTGGGGCCTTGTTCTGGGCCGATCCCATATGGATGGACTTTTACCCACGAGGGGACGGGTAACTTTGGGTGCTTCATTTAGAAACTAGACTCTTTGCCTTACCTGTATTGTTTCCTAGTTTTATTAAAGTTCCTTCCCATTAAAGTCTCATGTGTTTTGTGTTGATGCGGCGGATGGCCGAACCCATTTAGAATAGGCAGGTTTGCGGGGTTCGGGCTGCCCCTCTCCCTGTCCTATAACACTATGAGCAAGGTTTTGGGTGGATCTACCCTTCCCATTTGGGTTGAATCAATGTAAAACTGGCACAGGAGCCCAGAAGCACAGGCCAGGATCAGAGGTGACCACAAGAACCGACGTTGCCTGGAGCTCCCAGAAATCCCAGGAGGACTTCCCACTTCTGTAGGATCTGGAATAAAACAGGGTGCCCCTTCTTACATTTTCGTAGTAAAGGAGCCATCTTGGTCTGTCCTGAGCATGAGTTAAGGAAGCTGAGCTGGCCAAGTGGCAGGAGAGACTCAGCACGGATGAGGCAGCAAGCATGCAGCCAGAAGTCGTGAAGAGCATCCTCGCTGGGCAGCCTGGCTCCATCAACTCTACTCCTTTGGTCAAGGTGTTATCTAGCACGAAATTCCCTTAACTTTTTCATGAGTCCCCTCCTCATGCCCCCCACCCTCCCTGCACCAAGGAACCCTAAGCGGGCTCCACCCTGGACCCCAGGCGCCTCCTTCACCTGTCTGCGCCAGTGCTCGAGTCTGCGAAATGGGCGGGTGTTTAACAACTGCCTCCTGGTTGTCCGAAGTGGTAACACCCTGGGGTGGGGGGTGACACCTGGGAGAACCTGACTGTAGGTCACTGCTCGTCTTCAAGCAGCCCCCTGGCAAGCTGTCTCACCTCTTCCCAGGCCCGGCTCTTTTACTTCCTCCCTGCCCACGGCCATCTCGAATGCCCGCCCAGCTGGTCAAGTTAGTGCGCCTCTTGGCCTCTCCCCCTCTTTCCCAGGGCCCCCTCTTTCCCAGGGCCCCCTCTGCGGGCGCAGAGCATCCGTGGCGGCCACCGCGGCCTCTGAGGCCGTCAGTCCTCGCGGGTCCTCGACTTGGGTCATCCCCGCTCAGCTCAACTCCCCGGGGGCAGCCCCGCGGGTCCCGGTCTCGGGGCGCCAGGCGAGCCCCCCGCCCCCCCCCCCCCCCCGCTGCAGAGGCGCCAGGCGCAGCCAGCGCGGGGGATGGGCGCGCGGAGATAACGGGCAGACGCGATTATCGCGCCGCGCCGCCTCCGCCCGCCTCCTCATCCTCCCGCCGGCGGCGCGGTCCCCCTCCCGGGGCCCGGCGGCTGCTCCGGAGGCGCCAGCCACGTGGGTCGCGGGGGACGCGCAAGCGGGCGCGGGGGGCGGGGCAGGAAGGCGGCGCGAGGGGATGGCGTCCCGGGCACGCGCGCCGGCGCGGGCTCCACCGCGACGCCTTCGGGCGCGGGCACGCTCGTGACGCCACGTCCGCTCGCCCAATGAGCGGGCGCCGGGGGAGGCGCCGTCCGGCCCCCGCCCCCGCCCCTGCCGCCGCCGAGGCCGCCGCCGCCCGCGCCGCGTCCCCGGGAGCGTCTGACGAGTCGCGGGCCGCGGCCGGCTCGGGCGCCGCATCGCGCCGGCCGCCGCCGCCCGACGAAGCCCGGGAGCCGCTCGCCGCTCGCCGCCGCCCGATGTCCTCAAGATGGAGGCGGCGGGGCCGGCGGCGTGAAGAGAGCAGCGCGGCGGGCGCGGGGGCCCGGGCGGCCCGGGCGGCCCGGGCGGCGGCGGCGCGGGCGGGATGGGGCCGCTGCTGCTGCTCCTGGCGGCCGCCGCGCTCGGCTCCCTCCTCACGCTGCTCGCCCAGGCCCTGCTGCTCTGCCGCCGGCGGCCCGCGCCGCCGCCCGACGAGGCCGCCCGCGCGGGCGACGGCTTCCGCTACCTGCAGCCGGTGCCGGGCCTGGCCCTGAGGGACTACCTCTTCGGCGGCGGCGCCGACGAGCCCGCGGAGGGCGGCGCGGCCCCCGGCCCGGGCCCCGAGGCGCCCGCGCCGCCCGCGCCGCCGACGCGGGAGACCTGCTACTTCCTCAACGCCGCGGTGCTGTTCCTGTTCCGCGAGCTGCGGGACACGGCGCTCGCGCGCCGCTGGGTCACCAAGAAGATCAAGGTGGAGTTCGAGGAGCTGCTGCAGACCAAGACGGCCGGGCGCCTGCTGGAGGGGCTGAGCCTGCGGGACGTGTTCCTGGGCGAGACCGTGCCCTTCATCAAGACCGTGCGCCTGCTGCGGCCCGTGGTGCCCGCGGCCGGCGGCGACCCCGACGGCCCCGAGGGGGAGGCGCCGCCCGCCGCGAGCCCCGAGGAGCTGGCCTTCGAGGCGGAGGTGGAGTACCACGGCGGCTTCCACCTGGCCATCGACGTGGACCTGGTGTTCGGCAAGTCGGCCTACCTGTTCGTCAAGCTGTCCCGGGTGGTGGGGCGGCTGCGCTTCGTGCTGACGCGCGTGCCCTTCACCCACTGGTTCTTCTCCTTCGTGGAGGACCCGCTGATCGACTTCGAGGTGCGCTCCCAGTTCGAGGGGCGGCCCATGCCCCAGCTCACGTCCATCATCGTCAACCAGCTCAAGAAGATCATCAAGCGCAAGCACACGCTCCCGAGTTACAAGATCAGGTGCGCGGGGCGCGGGGGGCGCTGGGGGCGCCGGGTCTCCCCGGGGGGCTGGGCTCGTGCCGAGGCTGCGGTCCGAGATCGGGGCCGGGAGCGCACACCCGCTCTGCGCGCACAGGGCGTCAGTGGGGGCGCCGAGCCGTGGGGGACGCCTCTGGGCTTTCTAGGGGCTGCCCCCACGGGGAGCATCCGCCCCCTGCCGAGCAGCATGTGGAGCGTGGACTGGGCCCCCCCCATTTCCCGGGCGTGGGCTCCGAGCCGGGGGAGACGCCCCCCGCGTGTGGGCTGCTGCGGGGGGCGGCCTGGCACCGGCCGCTGGGCCACGTGGAGGGCCCTCCCCGCCCCGAGAGGACGCGGGCCTCGGGCACCGGCGGGGCACCCCAGGGCTGGGGTGCGTTGGCAACTTTCAGGGCCACGGTGGCATCGAGGTGAAGCGGAGGGCGGCGTTCCCGCGGCGCATCCGAAACGGGGTGGGCGCCTCGGTGTCCTGCACGCCCTGTCTTAACGCCGCCTGCCCCACGGGGGAGCTGGTGCAGCCCCGACCCGGACGCGCCCCCCTCCGGGGTAGACGCGAGGCCTCCGGTCCCTCCGCTGTGGTACCTGGAATGGTCCTGCACGGGGACTTTTCCCGACAGGCAGCGATTTTTAACTTTCTAAACCCTCCTCCAGCTGGTGGCATAATTCACGCAGCGTGCAGTTTTGATTAGCTTACGAGCTTTAGCTTTCACACACAGACGTGGAAGGGGAGGAAGTTTGTCTGGCTTGATCCATTGGACTGGGAAGGGTTGTGCTTGGCTGTCTCTTGTAAAACAATGAGATTTTTCATCACGTGTTCTGCCTTCCCTTAATTTTGTATCCGTTAAAATGTTTGACCCTTTTGGATTTTGTCCTTTGTTATCGGATAATGTTTCCTGGTTGTCTGCCTTCCAGAGTGGAAGCTGTATATTCTGGATCACTAATTTTCTACGAGTCTTAAGCATCAGCGACCCAGATAATCGCAAAATACTGTCTGTGTGAGTTTAGGGTGGATTATTGACTTACAGGTCAATAAGTAAAATGAGATTTACCTTACTAATTATGTTTTGTTTAGGCTAGTAGCACAGATGGACAACTTAAAACTGTCCAGTGGCAGGGGAAATTGACTTTATAATTGAAAGTAGTTTCATAATTTGTGGAGGATGGTTCACTGTGTTTGATTTCCTGTTCTGTGAAATAGAACATACTTTCTGAGACCTACTCTTCAAACTTTGGTGTATAAGTGACTACATTATAAATGAGTTCCAGTGTTTAACCAGTGAGAGGTGGTGGTTTATTTATAGCAGTGTGTTGCTAAGAAAGGCATGAGAAAAAGTTGATCCAGATTTTGATAGTCTGTTACAATTTCAGTTCTGATGTTTTCTAGCTTAAGTTTCAGATCATGCAGTTTGACCAAGTTTTATTTGAGGATTATTTGCAGTTGCATATTTTGAGGTTTGTTTTTTTTTTTAAATATAGACTTGGAATTCAGTTAAATCTGAAAGAAATTATGAATAGAAGTAATGGAGCCATTAATGGGCTTATTGCTTTGAAGGAACTTTATCAGTGTACTGTATCAGTGCACATCATCCCATTTTTAATACAGCAGAATTGCTTTTCAGTTACTATAAGGAATTTTTTTTTTTTTTTTTTTTTTTTTTTTTTTTCCTTTTTATAGAGGCATGCTTTATTTATTTGTTTGCTGGTTTGTCTGCTTTGTCCATACATGCACTGGGTACAGTCAGAAGCGCGGGAGGGTGAGAGAATTCACCAGAGCCAGAGCGGGGAGCAGAGCAGGCAGAAGGACCGAGGTACACTGCTGAGGGGAGCAGCGGGCGGCAGGAGAGGTCTGCGCGCCATGTGGGACCCTCCTCCGGTGGCCGGGGAGCAGCCGGGGATCGAACCGGCGCCGCAGAGGCCGCGGGCAGCTTCGCAACCCAGCGCTCAACCGCTGCGCCACCGGGGAGGCCCACTATAAGGAATTTTTTAAAAGCATAGCATGAGTTTGATTATGTATGATATCAACTTTCAAACTTTATACATTAAGTTATAACTCTAGAAATGTATATATCTTTACTCTTTACATATATATATACACATATATATTTGAAGGCATGTGGATGATCAGTCAGTAAATACTACACAGAGTGAGCCACTCAATCCACAAATATTTCTTGTACACCTGCTATATGCCTGTCATCACACAGGGACTTTAATACTGAAAAACCTCAACCCTTAATGGAGTCGAAGTAACTAGGAACCTTATTTTAGTTTAATGAAAGAAAATAATAGAAGTAATGAGGATGAAAAGGGCTGCTTGAGGAAGTGTGTTCTCTTCTGTGTGAGCTGTTCTGCCAGTGTTTTCTTTTCCACTGATACCGTGGAGCTGATTTAAGTTTCAGCAAGAGAGCGCATTAAAAGATTCACGATGTATTGTAGTTCTCAAAATGAGAATTAAAGCAGCTAATGTTGATCCTTTTTAATAAATGAGGGAAGAGTGCTCAGAGTAGTTAAATAACTTGGTTTAAGTCACATAGTTGTCAAGTGGTGAAATGCAGCACTTGTTGTTTTGTTGTTGTTTGTTTATTTCTAGTTTGCCATCAATATATGTGTGGGGCTGTATTTTCAGTTAACTGAGCACTCTGTGACTACAACTTTCCCCCCTACCTTAAGTTGGAAATTTTGAGCAAGGAGCCTTTTACGATCAAATCATAAGGTTAAATAAATACTTGCATGCTGCTCCATGTAGCATTTCTTTTTTCAATCCAGCAGATTTTGTTTCTAAATAGAAGGTCTTGCTGCCTTACTCTCTTTAGCCATCTAATCTGCTTAGTAGAGCTAAAGCATTAAAGGAGATGTGTCTTAGGAGCCTTTGGTGCTTTTATTTGTTATATAACAGAAATATCTTGCCAGTTAACATGGTCACTTCTGACCCCTTCATTTGTTTTTCCATTTTTGTGTTGCTAAGGAGCAGCAGCCCATTCATACTGCCAGGTTCTAATCTTTCACCTAGAGACATGCAGGAGCTTCAGGTGGCTGCTTTCTAAGGACCCAGCTGATGGACACTTCATTTTAACCAACTGATAGTTTGATAGTTATAAAATGTTGTATATGTTCTCCACGTATTATAATTTTACTAACATAATTTCAAATTTCCTAATTTATTGAAGTTAGGAATTTCTTAATTCATCCACTTCAATGTTAATAGCTTTGAATTTTTTTCTAAAAATGTATACTCTAAAATCGTATATTAAAGTAGTAATTTTTTTAATTAACCCAAAAATTTGCCTTTAAGTGAGAAAGATTAGCAGCTCTCCTGCCCACCTGTGACTATGCAGGTGCCTCACTTTTCCTTTCTCCTTTTCCTAATAAACCTGTCCTTTTAAAATGAAGAGAGAGAGAGAGAGAGGTTACCACTAAAGTTCTTGACTAATGGAGAATCCATCTTCAGCTTGAAATTTTAGTAATCGTCCTGAGGATTTTAGGTCTTAGAAGTTAAATATTTGAGATTCATACTGATGCTTCTGTTCCTAGAACATTACTGCTGTGTGACTACCACTGATTGCATACTAATGTTAAAACATATAACTGACCTTTGATACTTTGGAGAGTAGAGAGAAACATGTATACTACTCTTGGTATTCTGGAATAATGCCGTAATGAGGAGCAATTTTTTAATCCATTGTGCTTTTTCCTTGTACTGCTGCTCAGATGACAGCATATAAATGTCCTAGAGATAAATAAGTAATTTTAAAATCGTGATTTATTTTCAGAAAATATTTCCTGAAGACTACCATACTTAGTAATGTAGTGATTATGATGAAGGTGATAAAATGTTATACATAGTTCATGCACTCAAACTAGTTAGTTTTCTGGGGGAAACCAAGAACAGTTAAAGCTCATGCAACGGCATTTGGATATATATTAGACCTTTAGTTTTGTGAGACTCAGGACAAGATAACTATCTCTACTAAGGCAAACACCCGATTACTTTGGGTTGCATAATGTGTTGTAATCTTAGGTTCCTTGTGCACCTGAGAATAATTCATTTTAGTGCAAGATTGACTAGAAAGTTAGGTTTTCTCAAGTTGATCTGTATTATTGTGATTTAAGCATTTAAAACACTTTGCATGAAAAATAATTGTTACAGTATATCTTTTCTCTGGAAATTTGATTTGCACGTTGAAGGAACAAGACTAATTTTGAGGAGACTGTTAGATTCTTATCAGTTTTGCTGATCTCTCGGCTGTCTGGTAAAGCCCCAGTTCCTAGAAATTGCTAAAGCAGATCATCATAAAGTTCACTGTATTAGAGAAGCATGCCTGATCAAATACTTAGTATTGACTTAATAATATTACTAACACTCATATGAGGCAGAGACGAGGATAATAAAATCATTTGGCTCTCTTTTTGCCAAGTACTGTGTGGACAGTTGTACGTTTGCTATCTCCCTTAATAGTTAAAACTACTGTGTGGGAGAGGTTGACATCTCATTTTTACAACCGTGAAAACTTGAGACACAGGGGGATTAATGATTTTCACAAAGTACTAAAAAGAGAGTCTTGGACTACCAAAGCTCTTGCCATATTATCTCTGCAACGATAAGCCAACTATTACTCGAATCCAGGGGTTTGGCCCATAAGTTAAATGGTTTTTACATTTTGAAAACTTGACACTTAAGGTTGTTCAAAACAGAAGAATGTGCAACAGGCCATTTGCACCTACAAATTCTAAAATATTTACTATGTAGACCTTTACAGGAAAGATTTGCTAACTCCTGCTCTAAACCTTTGAACAGAAAAACCTAAAAAACAAACTGTATTCTTAAATGGCTGTAAAAAGGAATGTGTGCATGCACACACACTCACACACACTGAAAGGTACTGTCAAATTCTGTCTTAGAGCTTTGGAGTAAGGTGTACTTGACTATAGCATGGAAAACTGGAAACGTGTTAGGATTCTTATACTGCAGGTGGACTAGTTAATCC